TCAGTCCCATATGCCTATTTTTTGACTTGTCATGATCCATAAATAATAATACAAACTAGAAACATTTTTTGGAACCAAAACAATTTCACAAAATTCCTCGATTAAACAACTGATTCAAAATAGTAAAAAAATAAAAATTACGAAAGAATATTGATAAAAAAAAAATGATAATACATTTAGAAATAGTTTAAAATCCTAGTAACATAGTTTTTTTTTTCCCAACTCCTAGCTAGTAGAAAATACGGTTTATTATTTTCTTGTCACGACATTTAATTTCTCTTAGCAAGCTGTTAATTTTTATGAGTGTGAAAAATTTGAACTGATAATTTGTTTATGGAGATTAATTATGAGCTTAACATTCTATCCTTTTAATGAAAAAAATATCATAAAATTGAAAAGGTTTATTAGTAAAGAAGAGGGAAATGGGGGAGGGTATGGGATGGGTCCCATGTGATTTGAATTGAATTTAAAAGCAGATATGATATTTTTAGGGTTTCTTATTTTAGCGTTCAAAGCGGTCGCACTTCGCACTTTCTGATTTTGAAATAAAACGCTCCACTTGTTTGGGCTAAAAATTATTATATATGAACAAGATATGATTTTCATGGAACCTTTGGTACGGCTCATCTATATGACTTAATGAGGTTAGGTTTCAAACCCCCAAAATTATTAGTCAATTTATAAATTTATTTTGTTATTTTCAAAGTTTTAATGTCATAGTTGGAATTAAAAACTTATAGGGACGTTATATGATTAGTGCCATGATTATTATCTAAACTCGGTTTTTTCTCTTCCATGTGTAATCTAGTGACCGGATGATAATGAGATTTGTTACTTATCTTTGATTACTCACGGAGATTACAAACTTTTGTTGTAAAAACAAAAAAAACAATACCGCGATCAACAAATTTAGTATTATTCTATTAATAAACATTCCAATCTGTAAAGGCACTAGATTCAACGGTGCACAAAAAAAGCTTAAGATATTTAGATCGAAGATATAAATTATTTCAGATTTCCAATTCATTAATAAGTTTTGTTTATGCTGACTTTTCCCTTCTTTTTAACTTATATGGTAAAGAAACTAGAGATGTTGAACATACAAAGAACTTTCCTACGAATTTAACGAATATTCATGTTTTTCTCCCAAATTAAAAACAAGTAAAGCACAAAAAAGTCTTTCCAATCCAAATCTAAAATGTAAACAAATTTCACTAATTTGGACAAAATCTGGCAATTTTCTTAAATATTCAAAATGTTATGCACAAAGTAATAACCATTAACATAAATAAGATCTTTGTACGGCAAAAAACAAAAAAAGATCTTTGTTTCCAATTAAATAACATTAACAAACTTTATTTCACCAATATTTAATAT